AACTACCGGTTCGACATCGAAAAAGGTCTCGTGTTTGTCGGGGTCGGGACGCATGCCCTCCACGTTGGCCCTGACCTTAGGCCCGGCGTGCATGAGATGGGGGAAGGAGTAGGCGAGGGGTGCGCCCGACTGACACGGGCCCACATCGAAGATACCGTCGCACATATCCGGGTCCTTAGGGGTCGTACAGAAGCACCGGTTGGCCGGGTTTTTCTTGGGTGAGGCGAACAGATCGGCCGGCAGTACGAAACGCCAGGCGGGGATACCCTTCACACTCGACGGGCCCTTATATCTGGCGTAAATGGATCTGTAGATTGAGTTGTCGTAGGGTTTAGTATAGTGTTGAATATGGCTTTAATGGAAAGGTATGGCAGACACTCACCTGCAGGCGTCCCCATTGAATACGTAGAGGACATCGTCTTTGGTGAGGAATGAGCCCATACTTGTGCCGTCCGTCCCATTCAGTAGATTGCATTTCGGGTCTTTGTAAAAGTCCAGTGTCCTGTGGGGTGGGGTGGGGTTGGCATCCAAATTATATTCACATATATTTCCATATTTTATATCAATAAATAAGTTCATAAAAAAAGTTTAAACAAATAAAATAATTGGTTTAAGACATCGATATAAAGGTAAGTTATAAATGGATAAATAATTGCCTGAACACTACTAACCTTTTATCTTTATAAGTGACAAACTTGAGAAACTTGGTGCCTCCCTGTCCCGTATACACCTCATAGGGACCACCTTTGGTGAAGTTCTTGACGTGTAGGAGTCCGAACTTGTTTTGAGGCATTCCTGTGTCGGGCAGTTTGATGCCAAACCAGGCCAACGGTTTGGTCACCACATCGATGGTGTCTAATATCCTGAACGGATAGCCCTCTATGAGTTGGGCGGCTGTCACCTGTCTTAACAGTCCCTCGCCGTGTGTCATAAACAGTACGTTAACGGCTGCGAAAACTACCGGTGCGATGGCCAAAGACAGGGGAAGCTTCTCTATGAGACCTCTTATCACACCTGCCATTGCCTATAGAATTGTAGACTTTTGGTTAGACGTGACGAAAATGTGTTTGAATAATGAAATGCTTACATAAACAGGTAGATTGACGATGGTCAGTTTGTCCTTTCGCGAGCCCACAGTCCTCTCTGCGTCGAACTTCCACGAGGAAAGGGTCCAGAATTTGACGGTCTCCTCATCCCTACCCCATGAGATGATCTCTTTCCACCGGTGCTGTCTATCCATCATTTTGTGTACATTGTATTTATTATTAGTTATGTAATTATAAGTTATAATTTTAAATGAATTTTATTTCTTATACTAACTAAATAAGTTTCAACCAATTTTTAAACCAATAGTTTTTGATTATAATTCATATGAAAGGTTATGAAATTAAGAGTTAAATGCTTTATAAAACTAAAGTCCAAATAAAGGCTAAACAAATTATAACAAATTAAAAAAATAAAAGTTAAAGTTGTTTTGTTTTAATTAAAAAAATTACAAACTAATATTAATCATGTAAATTAAATAGAGATACCAGCAAAAGTAACTGTATAATTAAGTATGACTTACTTGTAGACATATGGCCCCATTTCCCTTAACTTTGCTTTGGCCCCTCGACTGAATTGTTTAGGATTGTCGATATGCCAGACATAGACCGAGTTATATATAGGAAGGGGTACATCCTTCCAGCCTTTGGTTAACTCATTGC